ATGTGGTGGTCCTTTTCACCTTCCAGTTTTGTGGCTGGGCTGAGATGAAAGCAAGCTGTACTGTGGACCCAAATCCTCCAAGCAGGTTGTTTTCTACCCTGAATGCATTGCACATTTAGACTCTCTTGGTAGGTAGAGGGGAGTTTGGATTTAAGTGGCAGAAGCCCGAGGTCTACCCCACAAGTTGCGTCGACAGTTTACCCTATAATTGAGGTGTCCTGAAGGCTCCATCCTGTGCAGGAACAGAGAATCACAAATAGGCGGGGGGCTTGGCTCACACCAGCAACTCACGTCTATTAGGCCAGAACTTCTGCATACTGCTGAGCATAGCTGGGTGCCTTGTGATAGGAGGATCGTAGGTATCAGCCACCTACGTTGGATCAAATAAAACCCTTGTCTGCAAACAGGACTAGTGTTACATGCAGGCAGCATGGACCCTGCCCTCTGAGGAACCCAAATTCTGTGGGGGGGGTTTCTTTCTTCTTTATTTTATTTTATTATTTATTTGTTATTTTAGTTTGGAGACAGAGTAGCCCAGACCACCCTCAAACTCACTACGTAGTCCAGAATGACCTTGAACTTGATTCTCCTGCCTCTGTCTTCTGAATGAGTGCTGAGATTACAGGCATGTGCAACCAGGCTCAGTTTTTACACAGTCCTGGGAATTGAACCCAGGGCTAAGCCAGCATTCAACCAACTGAGCTATATCCCTAGACCCAAAACTCCTGTTTTAATGCTCAATGGCCGCCATATTGAAGTTCCTAATAACTCCTGAGCAGGGAGTCCATATTTTCCTCTGGCCCCAGGCCCTATAGATCATTGTCCTGTCCTGTCTGCAGAATCTGGATTACATTCTAGGCCTAGGTCTGGAGGCGGGAGATGAAAGGAAGAGTAGACTTGAGGCGCCCACAGTCTGAAATCACCCAGAGAAAGGCTAAGTAAACCATCCCAGGGACTTCTGGTCTACCAGCAGCTGACCGGGCGCATTGGTTAGCTGGCTACGCACTGAGCTGCCTGCTAGAGTGGGGGAGAAAGAAACCCAGGTCATGGAGTGAGCATGCTCAGGCTGATAATAAATAGCGCACGAATTAACATGGATGTCCAGTGGGGCTTAGAACAGAGCCAAACTAAAGAGCAAAGCAGCACCTTGGCAGATGATCTTTGAGCTACGGTCTGGCCCTGAGGCGGACAAGAAGCATCAGAGTCTTCCCTCTGTCACTCAGGCTTCCTCACTCTGATGAAGAAGACTAGCTCGATGGCATTAGCTGGACTGGCAGCTGCCATTCACCAAGGGTTCCTGCTACTTCCTGCTTCACAGAGGTTCTCCCTAATCCTCCCCAAATATGGCCATTAACTGACCCATTTCACAGATGAGGACCCAGAGGATGAGAAACCCTTGGGTTGCTGTCACCATGGCGACAAGGCCGGTCAGCAGGAGCTATAGTATGAATTGGGGGCTTTGCTTTTGAAATCTGGGTTTGACCTTGTGTGATGGCTACCTGGCTGAATATTGCCTGTTTCCTAAGACTGCTCGCATGAGCCCATCCCCCTACAAGCCTAGGGGACCCAGGGATGAATGGAGATCACTCTCCATTCTGTCAATTATTAGCATCCTGGGCAAAGAGTTCCCTTAAGGACAAAGAAGAGCAGCATCAATAAGCAAAGCACTCTCTGCGAGAGAGCCTTGTTGAATCAGAGCCCTGGCCTCACCCTGAGCCAGGAGCCTGCTTGACAAATGGGCACCCTGTAGAAGGATGAGCCGGCAGCTGCCCTCTGGGTGATGAATCTCTCGGCAAGGCTACTGCTGCCTGCCTAAAAGTAAGGTTGGGGCAGGGTTCGGGGGAAAATTGCGGGGCTTGCAATGTGCCGCCCACAGCCTGTGCACCTAGCAGCTGGGGGCTGTCCTCTTGGCACCCAGCCTGGAGATAGCTTTGTGTGCCAGCATGCCTGCCTGGGTTCCCCCAGTCAAATGCCACCCTTGACAGTGCCACCAGCCTCTTCCTCCTCAGTGGGAATGTACTGCTCCGCTAAGCTGTTACACGGCCCTTGCCTCACAGAAGCCTCGAAAAGCACGCATCCCGCAGCGATTCTGAACCATCTAGCCTTTCATCATTTTTTTTCTTTATAGAAAGCCCGTGGGTGGAGGGGAGAGAAGAATCATGAGGTCCCTGAGCAGATGACTCACCGAAGACAAAATGACAAGGCAGTTTCTGAACAGACAGGACACTTGGCAGAATGTCACTCATTCATTCACTCACCATTCATTCATTCTCCATTCATTCACACATTCAGTTGCGTGTTCCCAGTGCCAGCTGGGCACTGTGGTGGGTGCCTGGAAAGGTGCAACAAAACAAAACAAAAATATCTCTCTCCCCCTGGGCCTCCATGCTATCAGGGAGAGAGGAAATGAATGGAAAATGGTGTTTGGGGTGATAGGAGCTGTGGAGTGAAGTCGGTAGAAAAGAAGGTGAGAAGTGAACTTTGTAACCATCTGGTCTACCCAGATAGGGGAGGTAACAGGGCCTAGGGAGGAGTAGAGCCAGCATGGCCTAGGCATGACCTGGAGGAAGCAGTGTGAATGAAATCAAGCAAGCAGGAGGTGAATGTGGATGGTAGAGGGTCTGGGGATCATTGGGGAAATGTGGGTGTCCATGCTGAGAAATGAGGTGGCTACCGTCCCGTGCAGAGGATACACATGATTGGCCCTGCTTGCTTCTGTTCAAGGCTGAGAAGAGGCAGGGAGGAGGACACAGCCGCCGTCTTGGTGCAGGGTGATGGAGTGGATGAGGTTAGGGAAATGGCCAGCACCCAGGGATTCATTATGTTGGGGATGGGGTGCTGATAGACATTTCCCTAGGCTAGGCATCCCTCAGCACCCTAGGAGGCTTGTGGTAAGGCCTCCCTAGAACCGTCCACATATGGGCCTTGGCCAGTGATAACAGATGCTCCAAGCCGTGGTAGTTCCATTTCGAGCAGTCCTGGGACTAAGTCCCTGTCTCTGTTTGCCACCAGAAAGAACACTGGAGTAGAGGGGTCCACACTAGATACATGACTGCTGCTGTGTGCCTGCATGTGTGCACTCGCCATCAAATGCCAGGCCTCCAGGCAGGAGGAAAACATGTACAGGCATCACTGGCTCGCGGGCCTGATGCTAGTTCACTCTAAAAATGGTCTGTTTTCCAGATCATGATTCGGGCTGAGAAACAGATAGGCCTCTGCATCTTTGGGAGCTCATTACTCTAGACTTGTCAGAGCGAAAACAGATCAAGTCACCACCGTAGAATTTACGGACAGATTTTCCTTTCTCCTTCCCAAATCTCAAGCCACGCTCATATAGGTTTAGCCGGGAACAGGGCAGCTATCTGAAAAGAATAGATTCACACTGAAGCTCAGAGCAAGCCACCATAGAGCACACATCCTACGTGCCACATGAACTAACCTCAGGCACCACAAGGGCCCAGGACAAATATCCAATCCATCACCACCCATAAGTCACATGTGGCCGAGGACAACTATGAATGAGTCGCAGCACTACGCACAAAACCTACTTCAAACACGACGAGGGCTTTAACTTCTGCAGCTTTTCAGATTGAACTGCCTGGTTGTCAAGCATGACCATGGTAGAAGACAATGTGGCCCAGAGAAGCCAAAAGGCTGGCCACCCAGGAAACTCTGTGTCCCTGGCCACCGGGGGAAACTCTGTGTCCAATGAATAAACCTCCCTGGCCACCCAGGGAAAAGCTATGCCCAGTGAATTCTGTGTTCTCTTTCTATAACTGGCCTTCTGTGCACACGAAGGCGGACCAGACACCAGAGTGATGCAATCACAAACCCAGGGATGCCCAGAGCCACAAGAAACTGCAGGAGACGAGCGTGGACCCTCCCTAGATCAAGTGGAAGAAATGTGGTCCTGTCCTCTAGAGCCAGGAGAGTGTGAGACAATAAATTCCTATTGTTTGAAGCTACCAGTTGGTGTACTTAGTCACAGCAACCCCGGAGTCTTTGTTTGTGCTGGAGTAACAAAATATCCGAGGCTGAGTAAGTTGTTAGAAAACAAAAAGAGTTTTGTAACAATTCTGGGCTCATAAAAGTCAAAGAAGCCCTGTCCCGTGTGGACTTCTTGACTGCTTCCAAAATGGCTCAGGGTAGCCGGGCGTTGGTGGTGCACGCCTTTAATCCCAGCACTCGGGAGGCAGAGGCAGGCGGATCTCTGTGAGTTCGAGACCAGCCTGGACTACCAAGTAAGTTCCAGGACAGCCTCCAAAGCCACAGAGAAACCCTGTCTCGAGAAAAAAAAAAAAAAAAAAAAAAAAAAAAAACCAAAATGGCTCAGGGCTGTGTTCTCCAGGCCAGGAGGAACACAGCTCCTTCACAGAAGGTGGAGAGGCAAGGATACTGAGCCTGAATGAAGACCTTGTGCCTATTCACTGGGTGGGGAACCCTCGAGACCTGACTGAACCTTAGAGGCCCCATAAAGTTTCAACACTTCTGCTTTTGAGGGACCCATTCAGACCACGGCACCTCAGAAACGACCTCCACAAGGGCACAGGCCCTTCCCATCCCTTGATGTTAGAGCTTCCTGAGGCCCAAACACACTTTCCGGAAGTGAGAGATAATAAAAGGTGCCGTTCCAAGTCACTACAAGTGTGGCAATCTGTTCCTGCAGTAATAGGATGGTGGGGATATCTAGCAGGCGACCCACACAGGCGATCTAGCCAGATGGCCAAGGAAATCCTCCAATGAGTAACTTTGGGGTGAGAGTTAGGGAAACTGTGGTTAGGAGAGAAACTTCCAGAATGGGAACAGCAAAGGTTTAGATCTGTGTGGTCTTTGAACATAACAAACAGGCTTAGTTTTCATTTACGGTTACAGTTCTAGGGAGCAGAAGCTATCAAGGGCTTCTCTGAAGAGCAGAGAACAGAACACCAATTCCTGCAAGGCATCCTCTGGCCTCCATGCACATTGTGGTGCACGCACACACGTAGACACACACACACACACACACAAATGAAGTTTAATTTTCCAAGCAACAATGACACACTTCAAAGTAACTGATAAAAGGAGGAGTCAAGCTGGTTCCCTTGCTCTGTCTGGCCATTCAGTGCCATCCCAGGTCGTAAAGCAGTCGGGAGAGTGTCACCAGATAGGTGTCAGCTCAGGACTCAGCCTCCAGAACTGTAGGAAACATATTCATAGTCATTGTCAGCTATCCAGTCTCAAGTATCGTGTGACAGCAACAGAAGATGAAGACACTTGGCAGAGGTTAAACTCAGTCATCGATGCTATCCCGTCCCAAATAAGGAATCCAAGAGATAGGTCGTGTCTAAACTGCTGTTCCCTCCTCCTGTGGTCATGACACATTTCTTTACCCTCCTCATCCTCTCTGACCCCTCTCTTCTCATGCCACGTCTAGCTCGGCATCAAAATATGGAATTCAGGTCAGGGTTCTACAAAATGCACGAGCCAGGAGGCAGACGGGCCTCGTGTATGTGTGTGTGTGTGTGTGTGTGTCTGGTGAGCACGACTCCCGGCGAACTTTTAAGGAAGTGACAGCTGCCTGCGGATCTTGTAAAGCCTCAGAAAACTAAACTGGGCTGCGACTGACAGGAGGGCAGTCTCACGTTTGCTCTTTCCACAGTTACTCACAGTTCGTCTACAGAAAAATCACAAGCCAAGCTGCTATGCGCGGCTGACACCGCCTGACTCCAGTGGAAGCTATGAGGCGGTGACACCCCCGGCACAGACTCCAGCCCGCTCCCTCGTCCGTGCTTCTCCACGCTGCCTGTGATGGGTCACCACATCCGGCCTGTGTAAGAGACATGTGGGGCTCCCCGGAGAGACCCCTGTTTTAGTGGTGTTTGCATGTGTGAAGACTCTGGTTTACCCCTTTCTCCGGCTCCGTTCGCTTCCTGCAGACAATTGCAAACTCAGAAGCTTTGACCAAGCAATGTGTGGAAGAACACATTGCTTGACCTTTTCTTAGGGAAGATGCTGCAGGCATCCACTCTGAAGGCACCCACGGAGGTGGCTTCTTCCTGAGCCGTGGGACAAGTTCATTCTTAGCTTCTTCCAGGTCCTAGAAGCCACCCATGCCTTGGCTCCTGCTGCTCCAATGTCCCTGGTCTTTTCTAGCTTAGGTCTTCCTGCCTCCTTCCTGTAATATCCTTGTGGTGGCATCTGGCCCACAGGGTGAGCCACCAGAATGTCTGTTACCCACTTCAAGATCCTCCACAAAGTGACAACTGCAATGTCCCTTTTGCTATGTCCATTTACATTTCAGAGCATCTAGGGATTGGGACCTGGACATCTGAGGACCCTTGTTCTGTTTGCTGTATCATCCCACATCTTGTGACCAACTGGAGTGAGTCCCTCTACTCATTCACGCGCGCACGCACACACACACACACACACACACACACACACACACACACACACACGAGTTCCCTAGGCAGGCAGTATGCACGGCCCTGGCCTGGCTTCCTCCGTGCGGTGATGGTATTCACCGCCTATTCTCCAGAAAACAGGCCGGTACCATTAAGCCTCTTTTCCTGCCCAGTTCTGTGTCCCAGTCTGGCATCTGGAAATCGTGGCTGCCAGAAACAACACAGGAACTGTCTATCCGACAAGAGATGTCTTCTCGGTGTATACATCACAGAAGCCTCATGGGCACCCCCAGAACCCATCAATCACCACTCAATAACCATGGTGGCCCACGGGGGACTGAGTCACTGCAAGTCTAGACAGCTTCCCCGTAGTGTGCACACTCTGGGCCCACTATTCCTCCTGGCCTAAGTCGCCGTGATCTCTCGTGGGGTCCGATGCTGCAGCCGGATGAACGTCTTCCTAATGCCCACCTGGTCCCTGAAGCCCCTACCCATGTAGCTGCCACTGTGATGCCCCAAAATGCAGATAATTCCTCATTCCTCATTTAGTTCCTGCAGCATTCTCATTACTCACAGAGTCCCCAAAGCCCTCCCGAGATGGTCCTAGCCTTCCCACGCCTTCCTCTTCCCTGTCTCTTTTTCTGGGTCCTTTCCAGACTGATCTTATCTTTCATTTGTCATGTGGAATTCAATCCTTCCACTATGAACTGGTCCCTAGGCCTAGCCCTTCTCAGCCCCAGCCATTGAACACTCCTGTGAGGAGGTGACTGCAGAGACTAATGGGATGGGCTGGATCACGGCTCCCCTCGTGCTTCCCAGACTGAGATCAATGCTAACTAAGCTCGAGTCCCTTAGAATGATGGTTGATCTTCACCGCAAACTCCAGAACCCCTTAGAGGGGACCAGACAGATGGCTCAGAGGTTAGGCGCACGCGCTGCTCTTGCCGAGGGCCTGACTTTAATTCCCAGTGGCGTGCAACTGCCTGAGGCTCCAGATCCAGAAGGTCCATCGCCTCTGAGGGCTCCTGCATCTGTGTGCACACACCGTTCCTCCACAGAGACACACAATCAAATATAAATATAAAAAGGCGACTCCCCCTCCGAGAGCTACGCCCTACAGTTATCTGTGAAGGCATTTCCAGGAGAGCATCTGAGGAGAGAAGATCCACCCTAAGCATGGATGGCACCACACGAAGGGCTGGAGACCCAGACTGAATCAAAGCGAGGGAAACGAGAAAGCAGCCGGCCACCTGCTCTCTCTGCTTCCTGGACCATTTGAAAGAAAGGATTCCCAGCCTCACACTCACACCCCTTTCTGGCCCTCCCTCCACCTTGTCTCTTCCACCCTAATGAACTACCTACGCCCTGTAACTGTGATCCTGAACAAATCCGTGCCCCGCCCCCCCTTAAGCTCCTTTTGTCCAGGTCTTTTTATAACAGCAATGAGGAGAATAACCAGTTGGGCAGTCACTGCCGATGCCCTTACTTGAGGAGGTCGGTAGGACTGACCCTCGTGGCTACGCCGGGTACCTTAGCTTAGCAAATGGAGGTGAAGCAGGAGCTGGGTACAGACCTTGTACGGGGAGAACACCGTGTGTGTGTGGTGTGTGTGTGTGTGTGTGTGTGTGTGTGTGTGTGTGTGTGTGTGTCACCATGTACACCAAAGATGCCAGCATCCCAGAAGATCCTACAAGAGGCTGGCTCTTCTGCACCGCCCCCAGGAGAACGAGCCCTGCTGAGACCTCCACTCTAGCTCTGCCGCTAGCTACGTGAAACATTTCTCAGACTGTGGCACCCGGTCCCAGCAGAGTGGCGGCGTGCTGCCAAGGCCACGGTTCCCTGAGCTGGGACTTTGGGAGAAGAGGGGACACACACTCGTGGCCCTTACATGAGCTAAGACAGAGGTGAGCTGGGTAAGCCAGGTGGCCAGCTTGCTGATACTACTTGGACATTGTGACCAGGTTCACCGTGCCATGGTAGCATTGGGGCTCCTGCAGCAAATTCCAGTGGCTTCGCTCTGCGCTGTCCTGGGGTACTCGCTATGGTGGCATCAGACGGAACTCAGCTTTGTGGGAGCGTAAAGGAACCTTTGGTGACAGCAGGCGGTCCTTCCTAGCCCTCTGGGCCCAGCCCGCAGATCACCCCTGAGCCTGGGCTCCAGCTGCAGCTGCAGGCTCTCCCTTTCCCCACAGCGGCAGGAGCCATTCAGGAGTCTGCCCTGGGAGACTTCCCCACAGCTCCTCCCACTAAGCCCTGGCTCTCCCCAGCCCTCCAGAATGGCTGCTGGGATTGTGCCTGAATTTGGAGCAGATGTCCCAGTCCAGACTCCAACCTGCCCTCCTCAGACACCACCCTCTCCCATGATGTACCGACCATTGCCAGGGTCTATCGTTACTTCGTCTGCCAGGGGTATTTGCTGGCTTCTTACGTGTTTATCGCCGGAACCCCTGCTTGGTTCCATGGAAACGGGATCTCATGTTCTTATCCCCCTCCTTCCACTTCCTTGGCCAGGAACAGAATTTGGCACACAGTGGGCAATTTTGTGTATTTATGGAAGGAGAGGGGGAGAGAGGGAATTTCTAAGTTTAGTTTCTCCCTAAAGAAGCTTCCAAAGGTATTTTTGGAACACGTCGAGTATTTGAGAATATGGGCCTAGTAAACTCTGTTAAAAAAAGAATTACGCCTCAGGCACCGACTTTTCCTTTCCACTTCTAAATAGCACGTCCCACCATTTCAAAAAAGAACCTTACAGCTCCCAGACTGAAGTTTCTGCCTCTTCCTCCTCATCCTCCTCCCCCTCCCCCTCCCTCTTCCCCTTCTTCCCCTCCTGTCCCTCCCAGCCCCCCTCCTCCTCCTTCTCCTTCCCTTCCTTCTCCTACTCCTCCTCATTGTCCTACCCTTCCTCCTCCTCCTTGCCCTCAACATTTTATATTGATTCTACACTAGGTAGGCAAAACTGTGACTTTGACCATGTCCATGGTGGCGGAGCAGCGCCCTTCCTCGAGACACACTGCTCATCTTGCACACTGAAGAACGTCCATCAAAACTGTCTTCTTTTACTAAAGCAACACTGGGGATTTCTGGGGGGGTTCTCTGGCGCACTGGCTTCTGTAAGTTACAGTTCGTGGGAACACACGGCTACCTCCATTTGTTTACAAAGCCCATGGCAGAAGCCCAGAGTCTAGGAGTCTGGGCGTTAGGGCAGAGGCCATATGGCTCATGTGGCCCCCTTAGGAAAACATTCATCTGCTGTTGCCCCTCACAAGCCTGGCAGACAGATGGCCCCTGCCCTGCCTGTGGTCCGACCCCAGGTGGAGATTATGGTACTCACTGGATCACACCCCCTTTTCTCTCTGGGTAAACAGAGCCCAGGCAAGTGACAAACAGATGTGATCTGGGGTGCGGTGAAATGACAACTGGAGAGTTTTATAGCTCCCATCCCTAACTCCTCCTTCCCCCTGGAACCCAGCAAGTGTCCAAGAGTGAAGCCAGGACCCTGATGGTCACAGAGACCCAGTTCTACCCTGCTACCTGCAGCAGACTGACCAGGAGGGAGGAACGAGGCTTCCCTGTTCATGCCTCTGCGACTTCAGGATTTGTTACAGCTGCAGGTCCTGACTAGTCCCGGAGTCCTCGGTGAAAAATCATTTGTCTGAATTTCCCAACACTGACGAGTGTTCCTTTGCTCCTGCCTCAGATAAACCTTTTTTTTTTTAACTGAAACTGTTTCTCCTCCTTCCCTTTCCTCCCTGCTACTATATTCTCAATCCACTTAGTACTGCTGGTATGATGAATATTAATTACATCGGGGGTGACCGCTTGCTGTTAGATAAGAAGGTTCATCCGCAGTTGTCAGGTGGTCGACAAAACACTAACAGTTTCCTTTTCTCCAGCTCGGGCCGCAGTTCCTTAACCACATTCAAAGACATGGAAGATGGTTCTAGAGTTTCAGCTCTGGCTGCAGGTCCCTGGGCTGATGATAGCGCATGCGTGAAGAACCTCCCAACCACTGATGATGTGGATGGCAACAGTGTAGGCATTTGAGCTAGGGTGGTTACCGTGGCAACCACGGAGCCGCCTTTACCCTGCACAAGGACCTAACCCTGTAGGGCTACTATGCTCCTCATTCCTGGGAATAAGGAAGCTGGGGCTGAGGAAGGAGTGGCTTTCACGGGGTCCCTGACAACTATGAAGCCACAGAACTTCCGTGGCATAATGAGGGAAAGCAGAACATTCTGGAAATGAGGGACCCTGGCTTGCATGGGACCTTCCAACACACAGCCCTGCCTTCATCTCTATCTGCCTCCCAAGATCGTGGAGATAACATGGTGAGACTCCAAGCTGACTTTCTCAGTCTAATTAAGGTAGGGATGGAGGTATCTGGCTGTGTTCGTAAGTCTGAAACACAGCACCCTCGTAGCTGGTTTACTTGCTATGCAGACTCAGCCTTTCTTGTCTAACAACTGCAGCCCTACTCAAGCTCTGTGGGACAGTTCAAAGCTGCAGGGAGAAGCCGTCTGGGGCTGCAGGCGGGAGACTGGAGAAAGCACACTGTCAGTCTCTCCGCTCTTGGGATGAGAGACAGAAGAATCGTTGCCACCCACTCTCCTCCCGACTCCAGCATAG